CGAGGTGACATCTTTGAAACATTTGAATATTTTCATGATACACACACCATAACTACAGCGAATGGAGAAACGGTTAGAGCAGTTGGAAAAGGAAACATTCTGGTACAAACATTTTTACATGCACAAGATTCACAGCCTACATCAAAGTTTACTTTGAGCACTAAAAAATGCAGTTTTATAGTTAGCTGGTGATAAAACCATACTGACAGGTGAAAGAAGTAGATTTGGAGGACTGTACAAACTAGCATTGCAAATCATAAAGCCAAAGGAAACAGCTCAAATCAACATAGTTTCAAATGATAACTTATTGCAACTTAATCATGAATGCTTTGGTCATCAAAACAAACGACACATTGAGTCGTGAGTTTGACCTCAAAGTGACCTTAGACAGTGAAATATGTGAGGGTTATATTTATGGTAAAATGCACAGGAAAAAGTTTGGAACGAGAAAAAGAGCAAAGGTACCAGGAGAACTCTTACACACAGATGTTTGTGGGCCTTTTGAAAAAGCCAAAAGTGGCTATAGATACTTCGTGCTCTTCAAGGATGATTTCAGTCGTTATCATTATGTTTACTTTCTGAAAAAAAATATCTGAAGTTGCGGAAAAACTGGCAATTATGTTAACTGAATTAAGAACAGTAGGACATACAGTAAAAGAGCTACTCTCAGATAATGGTGGAGGGAAAATTTGACAATGGTCAAGTAAAAAAATTCTACAAGAAAGTGGAATCAAACAGAGACTTGTAATGCCTTATACACGAGAGCAAAATGGTTGTGCAGAGCGAGATAATCGTACTATCGTTGAAACTGCTAGATCCATCATGCATACTAATGAAGATCTTTTACAACTTTTTTGGGCTGAAATAATAATCGAGGAGGGTGACATTCTGCGGCGTCCACCTCCATTCTCGCTCTTGCCTTATGTTTTTGAGTTTATTTTTAAGTGTTTTGAGTCTTTTGTTGAGTGGAATAAAACAACCTAACAACCTAGTAAGGTTTAAGGTAATCAGTTGTGTTATTGGAGTTGATCCCCTTTTGCAGGCACGGACCGACCTCACGCTCTCGAAAAAAGGGGGGGAATCATCACATTTAGCCCCACGTTGGGCGCCAAATGTGATGATGCGATAGCTCCGATTTGGCTTTAGCGGGCGTCTTATTCTCTGATATTCATGATCGTCAGGTTACTGCCTATACTAGTAGCACTTTTAAGGGTAGCCAACTGGCTTATATAGTCACAGAGAAGGAAGCTATGGCTGTCTTGCATTGTTTAAGGCAGTGGCGTACATTGGTATTGGGAATGGATTTAGTCATTATTTCTGACCATAAAAGTTTGAGTTTCTTGTTAACTTGTAAACTGAAAAGTGGGCGATTGGCGCGTTGGATCATGTTTTTGCAGGACTTTAATTTCCAAATCGAACATTGCAAGGGTTCGGAGAATGTGACAGCTGATGATCTCTCGCGTTATCCTCCGAGGGAACCTGTATCTATTTAACCTTCCTCATTGGGTGATGTACGGGTAGCTCTAGTGAAATTGACAAAGGACATATCATTAGTGAAAAAACATTTCAAGAATATGCGAGATGATCAGTTAAAGGATGTCTGGGCAGGACAAAAAGTTGAATTTCTAGAAAAGTACGTAGAATCTCCTAGAATTCTTAGCAACAAGGAGTTTCGAATAAATAAGTATGGTATTTTATGCACGAGGAACTTTTGTTTAAGAGGGGCGATAATAGTTGTCCAGGTTACTCAGCTGTTAGTCATTGTCGACGCGTTTTCGAAATTTGTTAAGTAGTTTGCATTGCGACAGGCAACAACGCGAGCTATTTTAAACAGAATTTTAAATCACTATATTTCAGAGGTGCAAAAACCACAGAGTATCTTGAGTGACAACGGAACTCAATTTACGAGCCATTTATGGGAGAATGAGCTAGAAAGGGTAGGAATTAGGGTGAGGCACACTTCAGTTTATTTTCCACAAGGCAATATGACAGAAAGATATAATAAAGAAGTTGGTAGGTTACTGAGAACATATTGCCATGAACAACATTCTTTGTGGCCTAACATGTTATCATGGGTGGAAAAATGTCTGAATTCGGTTATCAATTTAAGCACCGGATTCAGTGCAATATATCTGCAATACGGTCTTAGGACTGAATGTCCTTTTTCTAAGTAGGTATTTCTGGTAGAAGGAGAGGCGCCACTTCCAAAAGAGAGGGTTTGGGAATTGGCTCGAACTCAAATGTTATCTAAGGCTAAAAACCGTGCAAAAAGGGTTAACGCCACGGTTAAGCCAGTTGTATTCGAAAAAGGGGACCTAGTCTTGGTGAAAACTCACTATCAATCATCCGCCGCAGATAAGGCCATTAAAAAGTTTTTTCTGTTGTTTGAAGGACCGTATCAAGTTTTGGGGCAATTAAGTCCACATTCTTACATCATTGGTGATCTAGACGGTAAAGAATTGTCTCGACAAAACGTTATTAACTTGAGAAAGTATTGAACCAGTCCTGCAATTCTCGATTAGTTGGTGGACTTGTTTTTTAGATTTACTAAAAATATGTGAAAACCTACATACCTATAATATGTATTAGTTAAAGTTACATTTTTCTTAGTTAGCAAATACCTTTTTAAAGAATTATACTGGTTTTGGTTGTAGAACATAAATTATGTTACCTATTACTTTACAGTGTATGTGCAGTTAGGTTAAGAAGTGTTGTGAGTCTAAGAGACACTTGACTTAAATACATAATATTTGTATTTTTGCATTTAAGTTGGGGGGTAATGAGGTAGTTTTGAACGCATCCTCAATTGAACGCGTCGACGCATTCATGATGACAGATGACAGAGAGTTTATTATTAAGGGTTTTGAGTCTTTTGTTGAGTGGAATAAAACAACCTAGTAAGGGCGAATCATCACATAGTTTGGGAAATCACAGTTTTTCTGACACTCGTTCTGAACATCTTAGTAGAATCACCAGATAATGACTTTTCAGAAAAAGTCCCAACTGTACCGAGTAGATAACTGAGAGAAAATCAGATACAAAAGCCAGCCAGGTTTGAAGATTTCGTTATGATGGTTGCTGCAGACATTAGGGAAATAAATGAGCCAATTACGTACCGAGAAGCTATGTCAAGTAATAGAGCAAATGACTGGAAAATGGCTATGGGAAGAGAAATAAAGTCTTTAGAGGAGAACTGTGTTTGGACTTTAGGAAAACTACCCAATGGTAAGGAGGCTATACCAAATAAATGGGTGTACAAGCTAAAATATAATCGAGATGGCTCGATAGATAAATTCAAAGCTAGGCTAGTCGCAAAAGGTTATTCACAGAAGAAATATCAAAAATATGATGAGACATTTAGCCCATTTGCTAGATTTGCTACAATACGATCTGTTTTGAGTCTATCTGCCAGTGAACTTTTAAGTCTAAGCCAGTTTGATGTATGTACAGCATTTCTATATGGTGAGCTTTAAGAAGAAGTATAGGTACATGAAATAGCCAGAGGGTTTCAATAATGATACAGATAGGGTTTGTCATCTAAGACTAAGGAAGAGCCTATATGGACTTAAGCAAGCTGCTAGGTGTCGGAACTGAAAAATAACGGATTTTATTCTATCCTTTGATTTCAATCAGAGCGATACCGATCCTTGTCTCTTTATCATGAGGAAAAGAACAGAAATTCTTATTTTAGTTTTATATGTGGACGATGGTCTACTAGCCTTAAGCAATGAGGAAATGAAAAAAATATTTTCTACAACTACAGATATAGAGTTTAAAGTCACGATAAAGCCTGCATCATATTTTTTTGGGTATAGAAATCATGAAGTCAAAGCATGGATCAGTTATCATAAATCAAAATGCATATACCAAGAAGCTGTTGAAAAAATTTGGTATGAACAATTGCAGACCCGACAAAACTCCAATTGTTAAAGAAATTCTCCTTCAGAAGAAGCCGATATATCAAATTTTTCATATAGAGAGGCTGTTGGAGCATTACTTTACCTGATGTCAGGATCAAGACCAGACATTTCATACGCAGTCAGTGTGGTGTCAAGAAGTTTGGAAAATCCAACTCACAAAGACTTTGTCCAAGTAAAGAGAATTTTTCGTTACATTCAAGGAACACTCAATTATGGTATCACTTACCAAAGCGGAGATCGTTGCAGCTAGAGAAGCTTCAAAAGAACTTGTATGGTTGAAAAGATTATATGAAGAAATAATAACACTGAAAGAAATTTCAGAGTTGACAACGAAGCAGTTATTGATTTAGCACAAAATCCTGAGAACCACAAGAAAACCAAGCACATTCAGATTCGACATTTGATGGGCCTAACCAAGATTTCTAATGAGGGAAGGTGTTGAAGAACATCCTACATCCTTATGGAAGTCTTAACACCAATAAATTTTTTTAAATATTTTAAAAAGATGTATGACATAGTGTCAATTAATTAAACACTTTTGTACTAGTGTGTTCTTATTTTCCTCTTAATTTGAATCATGGTTTCTCAAACTTTAACAATTTCTTCTTTCTTCAACTGACCAGTCATCAAAAATGTTGAAAATGAGTACGATGTCGTCGGCAAACTGTAGATGATTTATTCATTTAACGTTAACATTATTGAGTCACACCCAGAATAGTCTAATTTCTTGAATTCATTCTTCATTGCCAGCGTGAAAAATTGCGATGATAATAATATATCATATCCCCCAGGCGATATTTTCCTAATTTTGAATAGCCACCTCGAAAGTGCGATTTTCATTTGGTATATTGGCAATACTTATAGGTACAAGTTTAGTTTTCCAATTCAATTCATAAATACATTTAATTAAATTAAAAATAACAACTATATTTCATCGCTTCTTGCTAAACGCAAATTACCGCGGTATAATTTAATTTGTCCAGTTAACTTATTTTTGTTATGTACCTATTAGAAGTTCACGTCAGAGTTTCTAGGATTTTGATATCAAAAAATATACGACACGTGTCTACGGAAACTTACCTATGACGTTATTGGGAGGGGGTGAGCCTTGTTGAGGATTTTCTGGCGTAAACACCACCCCTTGCATGGCTGATTTATGATCTGAAATTAAAAAAGAATCATATTGTATTGGAAAAATCGACTGAATAATTTATGGGGAAAATCCTTCGCGGAAAATTGATGTACTAATTATTGCTCAACTTGAAAATAATAATTATGTGTACTTTTCTGCTGTAATTTTTATCTTAAAACGTGTCATGGATTTTCTGAAAACACTCGAGGAGGAGGAGACTGGTTTCCTCATTAATTTATCAATATATTTTTGCCTCAAAAAGTAAACCAATTCTGGTTAGCAATTAAATGGAATTGCTTGTGGTTTAAGTGGAATTGTAGATCAAACCTATTAAAAATTTAACATTTAATTTAAGCCAAGTATAAGTAGAAGCGTTAGGTATAATTGAGGCATATAATTATGAAACATGTTATTATTAACTATTGCATTACGGTTAGTGCAATGGTATAAGTTTTTGAAGGGAATTATCCATTGCAGATTTGGATACTGGGAGACAAAAAAAAAAACAGAAGTTATAAGTAAATAGGATAAGAAAAGGAAAATACACATATCAAATACATATAATGGGCTTTAGATCATAAAAAGTTTAATTGAAGCGCTTCCAATAAACAAAAATCAAATAATAATTAAACCATGTACGAATACCAATCAACGATGGAGAGAGCAGCAAAAAATTTTGTTTATAAATAAGTCCCCAGCCCATGGTCAAGTTCTGATGAACGTGCAACGATCAAGGTGGTATTTGGTGTTTGTAGATAAATCTTAAATTAACATGATGGAAAAATATAAACAAGATGTTGATTTTAAATGGAAGATCTATGTTCGATTCTATAATTACGTTAGTAGACCGATTGGAACATTAAGTGCCCATTAATTATAAACAATAAAACAAGATGGAAGGTACCTATATATACGATTCATGTATAATATGTACTCTCCAAAACCTACATGGGAGAAGACGCATTTTTTAATTAAATAATAATATACTTTTGCTATCGCTACTCTTAAAAGTGCACACATATTTATATTGTCTGTCTCTTTCGTGATCTGTAATTATATAAATTCAACCCATCTAGTTTACGTTATAATGCCAAAACGGAGGTGAATTGTTGTGCTATGTACGCTTTCTTGATTCGAAGATGAAAACGCAGCTCGGTTTTTGCTCGTTAGACCGTAAACATGCTCTCTTGTTTAGAAAATATGGCTTTTGTTTTGTTTAAAAGGTAATTGATTTTTGCTTGGCATGCAAGAGATAAGTCGATTTTATGGTAATTGGGAGATTTCGTTTTAATAGACCTGAAGCTTAGCTGGATTTTATTCATTTTCTATACTTTATCATTGCCACTTGGTTTTCTTTGCCAATTTTACTCTCACGATAGGTTCCAGACAGCACATAAAGGTTTAAAGACGTCTTTTTTAGGTCTACATTGCGTCTGAACGTTTGGAAGACGTCCATGAGATGTCGTGAGTTCACATCTTAAAGACAATTGAGCCGCACTATTTGGTTCAACTGGGCCTAAAAGTGAATAATGGTTTATGTATTAAAAAGAGATTCAAAAACCAATTCGAGACATCTTGTTGAAGACGCCTTTAGGCCTTTAGAATATTTTGGAAAAATGTCATGGAGATGTTTTTGGGCAGAAATCTGAGTAGATATAGATGGCCGGTTCTACGGCCTCCGTCCTCCGGAGGAAATTTATCAGTAGAAAACCCTTACTTATAGACAGGTCTTTATACAGCTATACAGGTCCAGGAACAAGTTTGTTTATAGCTAAACATGGCCGGTTCTGAGTCCTCCGTCCTCCGGAGGAAAATTCTCAATAGAAAACCCTTACTTATAGACAGGTCTGTATACAGCTATACAGGTCCAGGAACAGGTTTGTTTGTTTACAGCTAAACTAGTCTTGAGACAGGTCTTTATACAGCTATATAGGTCTAGAGGCAAGTATGACCTGTCTCAAGACTAGTTTAGCTGTATACAAACCTGTTTCTGGACCTGTATAGCTGTATAAGGCCGGTCTATGAGTAAGGGTTTCCTACTGATAAATCTCCTCCAGAGGACGTAGAACCGGCCATCTATATATATACTACTCGTCTGGAAGACGTTGGGCTTTATAACATACGACGTCCTCAAGATGTCTCTAAGACGCGTTGAAGACGTAAGCAGACGTCTAAAAAACGTCTTGAATGTCGTTTGTGGACATTTTAGCGATGTCTTTAAAATGTCTCTATGTGCTGTCTGAGGTATACATAATCATGAGCGTCGTCTCTCGTCTCTCATTCTTACCTCGCTGTTGCTGATTCTCTTTTAATTCATTTTCATGCATTATTCCATTATTTTTATGGCAAATTTCAAGTTTGCCTAACATTTCATTTCATCTACACGTTTCTTGAATCATCGGAATCGTTAATAGATCAACATCTGGAAATATTCAGTTTAATGCAGGTATAAGTTGTTACGATAAATTTATCATTTACGTAGGTAACATGTTCCATCTCTTCTTATTTTCATTATAAAGTTGTATTTTTTCCATTTCAGAATTCAAAATAATTTCTAATATTCTAAAAATATCCACAAAATTCAAATTCAAATTCAAATAATACAAGTGCTGCCATCTATCCACATTTGCGTAAAATGCAAGTATCGAGAATTTATTTTTTAGTTCTGCCATCTATAGTGCCCGATGATCTATATTTCAAAGTATGATTTTTAAAATTCGCATTTGACAGTTATTTATGACCTTTTCAATTTAAAAGCCTCTCTCTCTGGCGTCAAACTGTCAGACGCCAAAAGAGTATGAAAACAACGGTTGACAACCGCTGACAGTGGTTTGTTGTCAAGACTTTTGTACATGTAGAAACTGGAAACTATTATTTCCTCGGTTTTTTCAAAGTTTTTTCCTAACAATGGTGATTGTGTAGTGTGCCTTTTTGTAAAAATAATTCCTATTTACCGGCGGACGTGTCTTTCCATAAGTTTCCATCAAATCCTACATTTATCAAACTTTGGATACATAAAATCAGAAAGAATACTCGCAAAAAAAAAGGGAAATCCACGGCCTATCAAGTATACAAAGTAATCCACGTTCAAGTTCAGTTTGCGGGAGCTGTTTGCTTCCAAAATAATCCACCGCTTTCTCCATAGCGAAGTTCTGCAAATGAAATAGTGACTTTTCCCACATTTTCTTTCAAAACACCCAATACACACTGGCATTGACAAGCAAGCAAATGTTGGCGGGAAAATGATTGTTTTCATACTTATTGTCCATCTCTTTTAATTGAAAACGTCAATTAATTAACAGTCTTTTATTTTTGACATAACTTTAATTTAAATTATTATAATTTGTAAGCAATTGAAATAGTTTTAGTGGATTTTTATCCATTCTGTTTTATTCCATGCGGTCTTTCATTGTCTTTTCATTTTGAAGTGAATATGGTCTTTTGGGTGTACTCGTCTGATTGGTTGAAACTGGTTGGAATGCAGTAAGTATAAAAAAACACAGGATCGTTTTCCTGCTAGCTTGGTTTTCTAAAACGATCTCTTCTTGAAAAACACTCTGACCAGGCAAGTCCTCTTTATTTTATTTAATTTTGTGCTTTGAATTTCTGGATCCTCCCCTATAGATTTTTCAATATTCAAATTATCGTATCTTTATTAAGTTTTTACCTGATAAATCTTATCTTATTTGTTTTTGAAATATAAATATTATATATATTTTTTTTTTATCCAATTGTTGGCTTCTATTTTGTGTGAATTACTTTGCTTATTGGTTAGTGCAACGTTTTGTTATAAGAGGTAAGTCCATACAGTTTTTTGGATTTTAGATAGGTACTGCTGCTCTGGCTTTCAGAATCAATTTTTAGTGTGGGAATATTGGACCATTTGCTCTGAATAGAGTCGGTGAGAACCAAATTTGTGAGTCCATCCCCATTAATTCTTTATTGAATCCAGGCAGAGGCCTGAACAGCCATTTTCTGTTTGACTCCCTAAATTGTTACCTCAACAAAAGGTTGTATTTTTTTGATAGAAATCCAGACAGGTCAAAAATTCAGTTAAAAAGTTTTAATTAAAACATCTCAAGAATTTTGACACATTCTGGATTTGATTAATTTCAACCCTAGGTTTATCTAGTATCTGTGGTAGCTGACTTAGTTCGAGAGGAAGATTTTGTCTATTCGGAGAGGAATCCAGAGATTTAATTTCTTATTTTTTTACTTACCTTATTTTTGCTCATATTTTTTGCCTGCCAGAACTGTTTTTCAAGGAAGCAGCATTTTGCTCAATTATAACGAGCATTATAATCATTATAATTGAATCTTGTTATTATTTAATTTTACTATTATCATTATCTTATCTTCTTAATTATTCTTTTTTTTTATATTAAAATATTAATTTTTCTACTTGCAATAGTTTTTATACCTGATTCTGTTGAAACGAGTGTCTGTATAACAATCATTTTGTACTAAATTTCAATTTCAATTTCCTGTGCAAGACACTCACTTTTTGACAGAATTCAGGAATTTAATGTTCCAAATATTGGTGAACCTGATACTGCCTTATTCTTTTCTGGGTACCTATTCTACATAAAGATCACTGTTTGGAGTCTGGATCAGCTGGAGTGACGTCACCCCAGCAATCTATCCTCTTCCTGGATACATGAAACAACACCAAGAGCTTCAGTTCACGAAAGTGAAACCCCAATACCCATTGAAAAGCTCCAGATTGAAAAGGTATATGGTGTCAGATTCACCAGAATAACCAAGCTGTCAACTGTAAAATTTTACATAGAACATTGTACACTAAATAAAATTATTGTTTGTTGGATTTTGAGTGGTTTCATTTGCACACAAAGGGGCTACACGTTATCTTATTTTTTCTTTGAATTCACGACCCTAGGTTATCTTTTCTTAAAGTATACAAATTCTTATTTTATTTGTAACAAAGTAACGCCATTTGTGGTCAATGCCTCGTCCAGATGACAGTTCACCTACTATATTTAGTACAATCGTTGAATATAGGTAGATACTT